TTTTTTTTTTCGTCTCCGCTGTTCTCGTTGTCTTAGCCCATGCGTTTTTTGTTGTTGTTTTTTGGGAGGATTCGAGCCCTCTCCCTTTCTCTCCATTTCCCCTACCTAGCTCATTTACATACACACACGCTCCCTCCCTCTCTCTCTCTCTCTCTCGATTGGCGGCGTCCTCATGGACGTCCGCAGCTAGTGTATGCACATTACAAGTGTCGCACCGCCGTGTCGAAAGGGCCGCTTTCGCCGAGCATCGACGGCGGCGCGCTGAGAAGCTGCGCCATTACTGCACGCTCCCGCGCGTCCTCGTCTTCGTTGTCGAAGCCGCAACTTTCGTCCGCATCGTCGCCGTCGTCGATGGAGGAATGCGGTTCCTGCCCTTGGATCGCCTTCAGCTCACCCAGCACCTTTTCCAACCGCCTCTGCTGCCCCACAAAGCGTGGGGTGACGCCAATAAAGTAGCGAATGCCGTCATGCTCGAGGCGGCGAATGACGTAGCGGTCCACGCGGACTGGTGACTTCGTGACGGGATCACGCACCCAATGCTCATCTGTTTCTGCGGCGTCGCGTGTCTGGATGGCTATCCCCTTGATCCACGAGAGGAGAACCTCCTCCACATTCGTCTGTCGGTATGCCATGCTGTCCTGTTGTTGCTGCATGTGCTGTGGCTCGGAGTTACTGCTGCGTCGCCGCCTGTCGTTGGGCGCAGGGCCCGCGTTATCACGGTCGTACATCACGTGCACCCAAAATGCACCCGGTGGCGCCTCCCCGGGATCCTGCAGGAGGACATTGCTAACGTGGTTGCTGGTGTAGTTCAACGGTGCGCTTGGCTGATCTGTGGAGCACGGGGACTCACTGATCGTGGAAATGCTCTGTCTGCTCGATTTTCTCTGTGTGAATAATTTATCAAACGACGGTGCTAGGGGCGTTGCGGGCGTGGTGCCGTTGGAGAGTCTACGCCGTTCGCGTTGCATGACCTCGCGTGCAGTGCTACAGCGCAGCACATCCCCCTGGTGCAGTCCCATAGAGGGTATGTCGTGCTCCAGAATGAAAACGTCGTTTAGTTGCACCGGCGCCGGTACCGGCATCCCACTGCGCAGCAAACCGCGGTAGTTCCACGAGCGTGGAAGCGGCAAGACGTTGCTGTCGACGGTGAGCGTGAGCTGCTGAGCGAGGATGAGGCACCCACGGCGGGCGTACGCCGCGCTGGCCCAAACGCAGAGCCGACCGTCCTCGACCCAAATGCGGAAGCGACCCCGCCGGCATGCGAGGAGGAGGGCCGACTTGGACGTCTGCTGTGATCCGTTTGGCTGCCCTGATGCAGGGCCTTCAGCGGAGTTGTCGAGCGCAGCCCACGCTGGCACCCGCACGTGGGCCATACTCGACAACGAAGAATGCTTCAGCGGCGTCGCCTGCACGTTCACGCCAGACATCATGAGGATCGGTAATGCGCCGTCGGGGTTTGTGTTCTGGCTGGGGTGGGAGCTTAGCCACTTGGTCTCGGTGGCCTCCGTAAAGAGCTGCTTCGAGGTGTCGGCGCTCGGCACATCCTCCTCAAACAGGAATAAGTCCCTGTCGTGCCTCCCCGCAGTCGCAGCAGAAGCAGAAGCGGAAGCAGGAACATCGCACCCCTCGACAGAGTCACCGCCGGAGAAGGAGCCGCTGCTGCCACAGCGGAGGCCACTGGGTGGAAGACGCGGCCCGCCCTTACGCGGCAGGCCGGCGTCAAGCAGAGTCTGCAGCCGTACCCGCATCTCCCGCACAAACTGAAGCATGGGAATGTTCGAGATAGGGGTGCGGAGCACGAATGGCACCATCGGAATGTACGGCGCCCGTATCCGTGCCTCCATACACTGCCGAACGTACATGTGCACCGCAAGCATCACAACGTTGCCGAGGATTTGATCTCCTACGTCCTTGTCGACGAACATGGTGGCCTTCAGCATGTGCTGCTCCACCGTCTCACCGTTGGCGGTGGCGGGGAGCGTAGCGGGGAAGAGGCCAAACATCCCCAGCACCTTCACCGTCGAGCCGAGGAAATCCACACCGTCCTCCGGCGGGAGCTGGTGGGGATCGAAGCGCGACACAATGGCGCATGGCACAGGTCGGAGGTAAAAAGCGGCCGGCGATGTCACATGTGTGCCGTCACGGTTGCGGTACGTGTGACGCTCCTTCCCCTGCATGTACACAATGGCATCTCGGTAGCCGGACACGTAAGCGCAGGGGTCAGCAACAAACGGAGGGCCGCTCATGTTTCGAGATGGTTGGGTCTGGTTTTGCTGCCACTGTTGCTGCTGCTGGTGCTTCAACTGTTCCATGTAGCGCTGCCGCAGTTCCTCGTCGGTTTCGCACATGCATAATTCTGTCTCTCTCACCAGACGATGATAAAGCCCCTCAATATTGTCGCTGAAGGACGTCTCAAAGAGGCCGTCCTTGTTGACACCG